CCTGACTGGACTCAACTCTGAAAGTGAGCTGTATCTTTACTTCTGTATTTCTAGTACCTGGCACACACTGGGTGTCAAAACTTGCTGCATGGGCGCATGAATGATCCAACAGTGCTGTAACTACAAAGAAGGAACAAATGCCTTATGGCACTAGATCTGGTAGGACTTTGGACAAAGCTCTTGACAATCAGAGAGATCTTACTCCAGAGGACTACTGGACCAAATCAGAGCTGTGGATGTTTAGGATCTCTTCAGCAATGAAAAAGTGACACCAATGAGGTTGGGGAGTACAGTATGGAGAGACAGGGCCTATGGAAAGCTTTAGGGTGGTATATTAAGAATTGTGGGCAAAGGAGAATCCAAGCAGTGGCAAAATCACATCATTATTTTGGAAAGACCATTCTAGAAGAAGAGACCTAAATGTTTGTAGGCTAGAGGGAAGGAACAATTAGGAGAATGTCTGTGCCATCAGAATACATAATTCACAAGGGCAGGGAGTGGGTTCCAGTGGCTAAAAGATAGCAGCCTTCAATAAACACTTCTCTCTCCTGTCTCCTGTCCCTCCCAACCCCCCTCTTATACTAGGGATTGAACCCACGGAGCACTGAGCTACATCCCCAGTCCTTCTCATTTTTTTGAGACAGGGTCTAAGTTGCCCAGGCTGGCCTTGAACTTGTGATCTTCCTGTCTCACAATAGTAAGTACCTGAGATAACAGGTGTGTACCACCTCGCCTGGCTTAAAACAGTCTTTTTCAAAATTTACATAAAGAAGGACTCATATTGAAATTTCCCCTTCATTAACACAGAATTTATGAGAATTTTACAGTAGACAGGATTTACTGCTATGGAGAAAAACAAGATTGTGCAAATTTTGTTTCTTTAAATATATTAATACTCAAAAAAGGCTTTAAGTATATAAGTCTATACTTACATACTTTAGGGAACTACCTTTTTTTTTTGGTACCAGGGATCAAACTCTGGACCTTGCGCTTTCAAGGCAGGCAGCGGAACCACTGAGCTATATCCCCAGCCCTATACTTATGTACTTAAAATGTATACTTTGAGTATACATTTAAATGTAAGTCTCTGATTCATAAAGTGCCAGCCCAAAGTATGTACCCAATAATTCCAGGGATGGAGAGATACTATGGGTTTTTTCTGTTTAGTTTCCAGTTGTTAGTGTGATGCCAACAGGAATGTTCTTATATCCGGTTTTATTGCAGCTATGGAAGCTACCTTTATTATGTTAATTACCCTGAATTTGAGATAGCTAGGAATGTCACACTGAAAGTAAGAAAAGCACATGAAGCTTAGACTTTCAAAAAAGAAAAACAAGACAAAATAATTCTTCACATCAATGATGGAATTTTTTTTTTTAAGTTTACATGTAGGGTAAATGACAAAACTAAATGGCCAAACAGCTTTTCCAGTTAGAATAGTAAAAGGAGCAGAAACAGAATAGGCTCTGAGTGATAACTAGTAAGTATCTTACCTCTAACTGTAAGGCATCTATTTTCTCTTCTTGGCAAGTGTCACCCTCACATTCATACTGTACTATTTTTCCATCTGTTTTACTTGCAACCAGTCGATGGACATAATTATCTAAAGGAAAGAATGAGTCAAAAAAAAGAGGAAAAGAATGAGTCGACCAAAGCATGTTTCTTTAAAATGAAAAGGGTTGCCATGTGTTTTTTCTTGTTTTGTTTTTTGAGACAGGGTCTCGCTATGTAGTTCAGGTTGGCCTTGAACTCACTGTGTAAACTAGGCTGGCCTTGAACTCATGGTGATTTTCCTGCCTCAGCTCCTGAGTGCTAGGATTACAGGTGTGCACCACCATACCACGTACTTTTAACTCTAACAGAAATTTTGTTTTTATACATCTAAATTTTTTTCAAATTGGTCAAATCATTTCAATTTTAAAGAGATACTGAGAAGCCAAGAGTGGAACCATAAATTCTCTTTATAATGTGGAATTCAGGTCGTTCCTAGGAAATGGCATCATTAGAATTAAAGTTTGCAACAGCTCTTAGGAAGATGACGTTTCACACTGTGAGGGAAAATGGAGAGGTTCAGAAGGAAAAGTTTCCATGCAGAATGAATCTAAATTAGAAAACGAGCGAGGTTCACCTCCAGCATAGTCCCAGACTCGGTGGTTGGTGAGCTGCATTGCGTAGGTGTGCTGTGTTTCCTCAAAGTGTTTATACGCATGTCGACTCACATACCGTCCACATCCTATGTGGCCACATATGAGACAAATCCAAAGGTTCTGCCGAGGAGGAGGGAAGATCTTAATTAAATAAAAGTACATGACCTGGCCCGCATGGTGTGGCAAGGCACTGACAAAGAACGAGACTTAAGAGTTGTTTCTATAAGAGTTTTAAATAAATAGGTTTAAAACCCAATAGCTAAGGATGCTTTTATGGGTCATTTTTTCTGATTTCTACAGAACTTTAGGGAAATGGCGAGAAAAACATTCACAGTATGTCAATAAAAGTTCAAGTCTTAAGCCAGGGATGTAGCTCAGCAGCGCTGCACTTGCCTGGCAAGCACAAGGCCCTGAGTTAGATCCCCAATACCAGAAAAAGAAAGAAAGGAAGGAAGGAAGGAAGGAAGGAAGGAAGGAAGGAGGGAAGGAAGGAAAGAAAGAAAGAAAGAAAGAAAGTCAGTCAGTCTAAGTCTTTTAAGGAACAGAGAACAAAAACATAAAGTATTTTGCTTAGGAATAACATATTTGTACATTTCTATGTCTTGTCTGACCCCAAACAAACAAAAAGACACAAAAGGAAAAAAAAAATATCAGACTCAGAAAAAATTTAAATCGCACTAGGCAGAAGAAAATTCCAAAGTTGTGTTCTCTGGATTTTTTTTTTTTTTTTTTTGGTACTGGGCATCGAACTCGGGACCTTGTCTTTTGAGGCAGGTGCCAGAACCACTGGGCTAAATCCCTGGCCCCCCAAAGTTGTGTTCATTGTTCTTCCCACCACCCATTACTTACTTCCTGAACACCACACTCAAAGCATTTATTTTCTTCCACTGGCTCTGGCGTTTGACAGTATCGGCAGACAGGACACCTATCCCAGACACCAAAGATAATGGTTCAGATTAGATATAAAAGAATCCGAAAGCAAAAAAACGGTTGTGTGACACACAATAGTCACTAAATATTTTGAACAGGAAACATCTTTTTGGGGGTGGTGCTAGGGATCAAACCTAGGGTCTCATGCATGCTAGGCAAGTGCTCTACCACTAAGCCACATCCCCAGTCCCCAAACTGGACTTCACATCCTCTTCTCTTAAAAGCTTTTTTCTTTTCTTTTGGTGGTTCCGGGGGTTGAACCTAGCTAGTGCCTTTGCACTGAGCTATATCCTTAGGCCATTTATTTAGTACTAGGAATTGAACTCTGGGCCTCTCGAATGCCAGGCTGGTGCTATGCTGCTGAGCTACATCCCCAGCAGGGGCTTTTTATTTTCTGAGACAGGGTCTAAGTTGCTAAATTGCCCAGACTGGCCTTGAACTTGTGGTCTTCCTGCTTCAGCTTTCTACTTTTTTTCTTTTTTTGGTACTGGGGATCGAACTTGGGTCCTTGTGTTTGTGCAGCAGGCGGCGAAATCACTGAGCTAAATCCACAGCCCTCTACTCTTTTTTTGTTTGAGACAGGGTCTTGCTATGTAGCTTTGAATTCACTATGTAGTGCAGGCCTCCTGCTTCAGCCTTCCAAGTGCTGGGATTACAGGCATGTACCACCAGTCCAGCCTTACATGCTATTTTAAAATTATTTTCCTAAGTGATTACTTTTAAATTTGAAATAACTAATTACCTTGGAAACATTTTGAGCTATTCTCAAATAAAATGAAATCATACAAAATGATACCACAGAAGAAAAGGGAGAATTTTTGCTTCATATACTTTCCTACTTTTATAAGAGTTAGCTGATCAAAAGCCTGAATATTTACAGGTTAGAATTAGGACATAAGAGTGCTTGCTTCGGCAGCATATATATTAGAATTAGGACTTGAGACACATTATTTATTTTGTTTCATGTCTGGTTATTCATAATGTACTTTTATGCCAAACCATCTACCTTGTCCCCATTTTCCAAAGATTTAAATCATTAAAAATCACAAAAATGGGGACTGGGGATTTAGCTCAGTGGTTCTGCTGCCTGCCTCACAAGTGCAAGGTCCCAAATTCAATTCCCGGTACCAAAAAAAAAAAAAAAAAAAAAAAATCACAAAAAATATAAAAAAATTAAATCATTAAAAATACGTCCTTTATTTTTATTTATGTATATATTTTTTGGTACTGGGGATCAAACTCAGGACCTTGCACTTTCGAGGCAGGCTCCAGAACCACTGAGCTAAATCCCCAGCCCAGGTATACCCCTGTCTTATCCAGGTTTCTCCTAAAAGTTAGATCTAAAATCTGCAGTAAATGTTACCAAATTTTGTGTTTTGAGACAGGGTCTCAATATGTAGTTTAGGGTGACCTTGAACTGACTATGTAGTCCAGGCTAGCCTTGAACTTGTGTTGGTCCTCCTGCCTCAGCCTCCTGAGTGCTGGGATTATAGGCATGAGCCACTGCTACAGACTACCAAATTTTTTTTTAAAAAAGAGTGTGTCAATAAAACTAAACACATATAACATTTTGCTTTACAATGAAGATCATATTGAAGATCCCAGTGCTCTACTTACTTTCCAAGTTTGGATTTACAAAGAACCAACAAGTTAGACATGGTGGCACAAGCCTATAATCTCAGCACTCTGGGAGGCAAGAAGATTGGACGTTTAAGCCTAGCCTGGAGCCATTTATGTAGCAAGACCCTGTCTCAAAGTACAAAACAGAAAAAGGGATGGGGATGGGGATGTAGTTCAGTGCAAAGGTCCTGGGTTGAATCCCCAGTACCAGGGGGAAAAAAGCCAGTAAAAGAACAATGAAAAAAAAATGAATTAACCCTTTTCTTTTTTTTTTTTTTTTTGGTACCGGGGATCGAACTCGGGACCTTGTGCTTGCAAGGCAGGCACCGGAACCACTGAGCTAAATCCCCAGCCCAATTAACCCTTTTCTATTAGTCAAGACAAAGTAATACTACTCAATATGTCATGAATATATTTTAACAGTTGGGCAAACAGAAAGTGGGGTATATTTGAGGCTGACTAAACTGGCACCAAGAAAGAAAGCTCCAAGTCGGTAAAAGCAAGAAAAGGAGAAAAGCAGAAAGAATACTAAGTTCTTGCACAGACAGGCAGGCTATGAGTTTCCTATCAGAAAGCTGAAGGATCCAGTCTGTCTCCTTTGTATGAAAACCCACTCACACAATGACCTGTACGTTTCTGAGGAGGAAGCCATGTCTCACACTCCACGTGATCGGCATGACAGGGAGCAAGGCAGGCCAGGTCCTTGCTCTGTGGAAACTGTGCAAACATGGATTCCTGTGGACTCTTTCCCTCCTAACTCCTGGACTCCTCGAATGTGCACTTCCCCTTCTTGTGCACAGCCCTCTGCATCACTGCTTTCTCTTGCTCCCGTATTCCAGCTGCTAACTCCTACCTATCCCTCCCTCCTTGTGACATCACTTCTCAAGTGGCCCTGGTGGTGTCAGGGCCCAGGTCTCCAGTCACAATGCTGCACACTGGGAAGGCTGTGGTTCCACACTTAATTGTGTGGCTGCTTGGTTGTCAATTTTTCGCTCTGTTCTGGGAACCCGTAAGGCCAGTGCCTGACATACCTTTCTAGCTAAGCCCTGCAGTGCAGTTTGCAAAGGGAGCAATCACATTGGACTTAAGGGGGAAAAGGTATTCTTTGTGTGCAGCAATGTCACCTATGACTAAGGCTTTCTTTGTGCACTGGGAATCAGGACACGTAAGTGTGTGCCTCATAGCTGATGGCTGCTGTCACTAGCTGGTACCAAGTCATCAACAGCCCAATAAAGGTTGCCGCTGCCCAGTTGGGAAGACAGCTGAAGCAAATGCTAGAAACCAAGAAACCAAGTGCACATAATAGGTAAATTTGAGACCCAGAGTTCATTCTTTTTTCCCCCTGGTGTTTATGATTAAACCAGGGCCTTGTGCACACTAGGCAAATGCCCTACCGCTAAACCCAAGACACAGATTTCACTTTAACACAAAAGCCTTAAAGCCAAGTTTTGCTTTTTATTTTTTCGATTCTGGCTCTTGGAAGGAAAGAACAATTCATGCTGTTCTGGGAAATGCCAAAAGAATTCAGAACCAGCATCCATTCTAAGAAGGACTTGGTCTAAGAATCCAGATTCCCTGGTGAACTGAGGAAGAGGAGAAAAATGGAAGAGTCTGTACTATCATGGTGCCTGGCTGGTAGAATCAACACTTGGAGTGGCTCGTGTTTGGTGATGGCGATTTTTAATTCTGGGTAAGTGTTACAATGCGGTCCTGTGGTGGGGAACGGTCCTGCACTCACGTGGTGTCATCCCAGCGCTGTAGACACTGGCTGTGGAAGCTGTGGTTACACAGTGTGGTGAGGATGCCATTCACGGACTCGTCCATGCGCTCCAGACACACTGTGCACTTAGGGAGCTCAGTGAGGTCCATCACTGGGAGACTGGCGCCCTGCAGGAAGACACTGCGCGTGAAGCCTCACTGTGCACCCCTCAGCCATCTCTTTTTTCCCTCTTAACAATACTTTTCCAGTTGACTCCTAGGAGGGTGTTTTCAACATTACAGCTCTATGCAAGTAATTTAAATTAGTAAGCTTTTCATTTATTTATTCATTCATTCAACAAGTACTGATTGAGTACCATTTATATTCCCAGCCCTGTGCTGGGCCCTGAGAATACAGTAGTGAACAGAGCAGACAAAAACTCCTGGAAAAACAAAACAAAGGCCCAGTGTGGTGGTGTAGGACTGTACTTCCAGCACCTGGGAGGCTGAGGCCAGAGAATCACTATGAGTCTGAGGTGAGCCTGGGCTATACAGTGAGTCCAAGGGAAGCCTGAACTGCATAGCGAGACCCTGTCTCCAAAATAACCCCAGACAAATGGAGAAAAACCATATTACAGTCTCTGAAAAGTAGATATTTACGAGAAATTTCTCAAGAAGCCATGCACATTTAGAGAAAAGAACCTCAAATCAGAGGCCTCGTGCACTTGGCACAAAGGAAACCCAATTGTATCATTCATTCATTTTAGTTCCCTAATCAAACAACAGAACAATCGAAGTAGAATTTATTTCAAAGCTGATTTCAAGGTAAAAAGATCACTAGCTGTACTTTATTCATGTATTTGTTTTATTTTTTTTTTGGTACTGGGGACCAAACTCAGGACCCTGTGCTCATGAGGCAGGCAGCGGAACCACTGAGCTAAATCCCCAGCCCAATTTATTGGTTTTTTTTTTTTTTTTTTGGTACCAGGGATCAAACTCGGGTCCTTCCGGAAACATAGTAATGATTGATTTTTTTTTTTTTTTTGGTACCGGGATCGAACTTGGGTCCTTCCGCTTGTGCAGCAGGTGGTGAAACCACTGAGCTACATCCCCGGCCCATTTTCTTTTTTTTTTTGGTACCAGGGATTGAACTCGGAACCTTGTGCTTTTGAGGTAGGTGGTGGAACCAGTGAGCTAAATACTGGGCCCTGAAATTTTTTTTTTTTTCTTTTTTTGGTACCAGGGACCAAATCTGGGACCTTGCACTTTCAAGGCAGACAGTGGAACCACTGAGCTAAATCCCCAGCCCTTGGTTTTTTGAAACAAGGTCTCACTATGTAGCCCAGGCTGGCCTCAAACTCTTGGCAATCCTCCTGTCTCAGCCTCCCGAGTGCTGGGATTATAGGTGTGTGCCACTAAGCCCGGCACTAGGTCTACTTTCTTTCTCTGTCTCTGTCTTCTTTCCTCTCCTCTTTTCTCTCTCTTCTTTTTCTTTTCTTTCACTGGTACTGGGGATCGAACTCAGGACCTTACGCTTGTCAGGCAGGCACAGTGCTGCTGAGCTACATCCTCAGCCCTCTAGGTCTACTTTAAAAGAAAGGCAATCTTAAAAATTCTCATAGAGCTGAATCTGCTGTTTTATAAAATAATTTGAGTAAGCACATGTTGCAAGAAGGGTTCCCACTGAGGGTGGCAGATCAGAGCAACTGCAAATCACAAGCAAAGCAGAATTAATAATTAAAAGGAGGACTAATGGTGCTCACTGCGGCAGTACATATACTAAAAAAAGGAGGAATAGGGTTAATATTTCCAATAAAAACATTTCGGGGGCCGGGGATGTAGCTCAGTGGTTCCACCGTCTGCCTTGCAAGTGCAAGGTCCAAAATTTGGTCCCTGGTACCAAAAAAAGAAAAAAAAAAAATTTCAGGGCCCGGGATTTAGCTCAGTGGTTCCACCACCTACCTCAAAAGCACAAGGTCTAGAGTTCGATCTCTGGTACCAAAAGAAACAAACATTTCAGCACTAGGGATGTTTCACTGATCTGGAATAGATTAACACTCAATTTCAACAATATAGGGTTTTTTTACACATTTAAAAATATTTTTTGGAACATAAAAAAATGAAATAAAATTCATATCCCACGAAATTCTCTATGTTAAAGTGTACAACTCGGTGGTTCTTAGAGCAACTGTCACCACTATCTAATTCCAGAACATTTCCATCACCTCAAAAACAAACCCCACCACCTGTTAGCAGTCACTCTGCATTCCTCTCTGCCTCAGCCCTTGGCAGCCATGTATCACCTTTCTGTCTCTAGGGTTTGGCCTACTCTGGGCATTTCCACAGTTACCTTAGCATCCAATTTTATACCAATCTGATGGATTTAGAATCAATATAAGCAGCATTCACACTTACGTCTTCTGATTTCAGCACCTCAGCCCTTTCCACGTAGACCAGCTGGCAAACGTCATCTTCTATGGAGTTGAACTGGCGGCCATTGCATGCCGTATAAAAACTGTCTGCATCAGCCTGTGCACCCCAGTGGGGAAGAGGAAATAAGACAGAATGACTGAAAATCTGCTTCATATTCCAGATGTATAACTTCGATTGTTTACCTCATCAGCTTTGTAAATCTATGCTAAGGAGACAAAACAACTGCCAGAAAGAGGTAACAACTACTGAGGCAGGCTGCTGAGCTGATTACACTCTGCAGGGCAGTCTCCAGCAGCTTGGCAGTGTTTCCTGGGCTACATGTGAGTTTTGACTCGGACTGGCAGGAAGTATTGAGGTGTAGGAAGATGAAAGTACAATTTTAATATTCAACCAGCCGTGGTCCACATTTCCCTTGATAAGTTTTTCTCCTCTAGCCTTCACTTCTGCAGCAGCTGAGAAAACATGCTTCTATAAAGCTTGTAACCAAATCATAACTGATGACAGCTATGGAAGAATTCTTTTAAAGAAATCTATCAGCATTCATCTTTTAAAACAAAACAACAACAACAAAAAAGGAGTATGTGGTGAAAACCCAACTCCTTTTCAATAAATCAAATAATACATCACATAACTCATGATATATATAATGTATGATAGTTCCATAAGGATCCCATCAGGAGTGTCCAATATCAAAAGCAAAACTCTTGGTGATGGTCAAACAGTCCAAAATAAACCAGTTTTTAGAATACTAATAGTCACCAGCTGGGCATGGTTGTGCATGCTGGTAATCCCAGCACTTGGTAGGCTGGGGCAGGAGAATTACCACAAGTTCAAGGCCAACCTGTATTAAAAAAAAAAGAAAAAAAACAACCCAAACAAACAAAAGCCCCCCAAAACCAGCCAAACAAAACAAACAAAAAACTAATAGTCACATTCCTTCATAGTGGAAGACAGATGAAGAAAAGCAGCCTCCTTTAGGTAAATTTCCAAAAGCACATACCCATTTGTGATAAGGACACTGGTAAAATCGAACCTTCTAGCCTAGGTTTAATAGACAGCAACAAAAAAGATTACAGTTTTTAAACTGAGTCAGTTTTTTGAGGCAGCAGGGAGACCAAGGCTTGTCTGTATTTCTTTCCTCCACACAGGCATTAGCCCAAACAGAAAGTTGTGTGCTTTGGCTCTACCAATGTAGAGAAGCTGCTTGGGGTACAGGGGAAAGAGGGATTTTACTGTTGTCAACCTCTACTAAAAGATTTGAGGCTGTCCCAGGCAATGAGTCCTGCCTGTCTAACTTCTCTCACAGGGTTCTGAATTTCACTGCCACCCCAAGCTTCTCACAAAGCTTTTAATTCCACTCCAAAGATGTAATCCAATTGTGGATTTTTGATTATTTATGCTTTCTTAACATGACCAAGTAAGCTAAGCAGCCGAGGATGGACGATCAATTCTGAATGCAGTAGTTTTATTGGGAGAAGGGAAGGACAACTTTCTTGAAGGAAACATTCTGTGTACTGTGCATTTTAAATTCAAAATGTGTACAACCAGTTGTTGGATAATAAATCTCTGTAATATTAAGAAGAGGCAAACTCAAGTAGCTTCCTTCATTGTTTTGGAGCAATGGCTTTTTCTTGAAACACTACTGCCTGAGTAAGCAGCACAGGAAGCTCAAGGCATTCCTCGCTGAGGGAACTACCTGCCTGGATGATGGACTCAGCTCAGCTCTTCCAGGCTCCCAGCACCACCATGAGCTGAGCCAGTCCTGAGGGAAGGCAGACAGACTCCTGCTTGGATCTGGAGCTCTGCAAATGCTCACCAAGTGCCTGGGCCTCAGAGAAACAGATAAGGCATGTGACCAAATCTGCTTAACACCAAATTATTCTTTTCTTGGGGGAGATGTTCATCTATACCAAAGAAATGTACTTAAAAAAAAAAACCTGGTAACATCTACACAGCTGAGATCTCCAATTTGAACACCGTGATGTCTTCTTTAAAGTGTCATTATTAGAGCTGGGCGTGATGGTGCCCACCTGCAATCCTAGCACTGGGGAGGCTAAAGCAAAGGTCATTATTAGATAAATAGCTTTATTTGTTCAATTTTTTTTTGAGGCAGAATCTTGCTAAGTTGCCAAGTTCCCAGTGTGGGCTAAAACTTGTGATCCTCCTGCCTCAACCTCTCAGAGTCCTATAATTACAAGTATATACCATCATGCCTGGCTTACTTTTCAAACATTTACTGAGCACCTACTAAGTGCCAAGCACTGTGCTCTTCACCAGGAAGAGAGGAGGGAACAAAATACACACGGCTTCTTCTTCAATACAGTATCAAAATGCACAAAAGCCGGCAGCTCATTGCAAAGAACGGAGAGGAAGCAACTTTTAATGTCTGCATTGTATGGAGTAAAAAATTTAAAGGAACCCAATTTTCTCCCTCCAGTCTTTTGATTTTACTGTACTCTTCAGAGGCTACACTTGGAAAAAGAAACATCCATTGTAACAGGGTTCCTCCACTGTCACAGCAATCAACTGCAGCGTTGAAAATACATTTTTATTCTCAAAATGGTTTTCTAGACTGTTCTACCCAAGCAGGCAAGTGAAAATAAGCCAACACAGTACCGAGGGGTTATCTTTTTTTTAATCTCTAAGAACAATAAAATGAACCATCTCTTATTTTTGTTTCCTGATAAAGCATAAATTTCATACTCAAAGACCAGATTTCCTAAAGTTCATATTACAAATCTGGTGGGGGTTTGTTTTTTGGTTTTTTGGTACGGGGGATCAAACTCGGGTCCTTGAGCTTGCGAGGCAGGCAGTGGAACCACTGAGCTAAATCCCCAGCCCTGGTGGGGGTTTTTTGGGGGGGAATTATTTTTGTTTTTTGAGACAAGAGTCTATGTAGTTCAGGTTGGCCTTGAACTCGTTAAGTTGTAGCCCAGGCTGGCCTTGAACTCCCAGCAATGCTCCTGCCTCAGCCACTCAAGTGCTGGGATTACAGCATTGCACCACCACACCTAGCTCCATATTACAAATTTGTAAGCACATCTCTTTTTATTTTTTGGTACCAGGGATCAAACTCAGGACCTTGTGCTTGCGAGGCAGACGCAGTGCCACTGAGCTACACCCTCGGCCCCTGTGAGCACATCTCTTTATAAGATCTCCAACATAAAGCTAAGGCCAAAAGAAACCCAAGAGACTGCAAAAGATACAGAGGTTTATGAAAAATTCTCTGGTAATAAAAAGAACAGAGTAATAATGTAGATAGCTGCCCAGGATAGTCAGTCTGCCTGGGATTAAATCCTAAGTCTGACACTTCTTACCTAACAACTTTGGTTAGTGAATTATCTATGCCTATTTCCTCAACTATAAATAAATGAGAAGTACCACCACCTGTCTTGTGACATTGCTGAAAGGATTCAAAGAGCTACTAAATGAAAAGTACATAGAAGAGGGTCTGGTATCTAGTAAGTGCTCAACAGTCAGTTGAGCTATTGAGTCTATATTCTCATTAGAGCCTAGTAGTAATTTAACAACTTCAGGTCTTATGCCAAGAGGTTATTAGGTCTTAGTCCTTGGGAGGATGGGCCTGGGTAGGATAAGGATCAGAACCTAAGATCCAAGAGTAACAATAAATAGTACAACTCAAAACAAAACAACCAAAACAGAAGTGGAAAGGATAGTGCAGATGTATAAATAAAATCTACCAAAAGCAACAGAAAATATTCATGGTATCATGTGCACATTAAAAGAGTAGCACCTGCTACAAGGAAGTTTGTGGGTTTACTAAGTAGGTTAGTGTGGTGGGTTTATTAGACTTCAGACTATTAGAAAAGCCTAATACACTTTTTTCTCCCTTAGTACTGGGAATTGAACCTAGGGCCTTTGCATTGATCTATAGTACCAGACCTTTTTTATTTTGCAAAAAGGTCTTGCTGGGCTAGGGATGTAGCTCAGTGGACCGTCGCCTGCCTCGCAAGCACAAGGTCCTGAGTTTGATCCCCAGTACTACAGAAAAAAAAAAAAAGCTGAAAAAGAGAAAAGGTCTTGCTAAGTTGCTTGGGCTGGGTTTGAACTTGTAACCCTCCTGCCCAAGCCTCTCAAGAGTGCTGGGGGGTTGGGGATTTAGCTCAGTGGTTCTGGCACCTGAACACAAATGCAAGATCCTGAGTTCAATCCCTGGTACTGGAAAAAAAAAAATCGATCTTTAGGCCGGGGATTTAGCTCAGTGGTTTCGCTGCCTGCTGCGCAAGCACAAGGACCCGAGTTCAATCCCTGGTACCAAAAAAAAAAAGTGTGCTAGGATTACAAGTGTGTGTCTGTCATCGTACCCAGCTTTTTGTTTGTTTGTTTTTTAGAGGTTTTTTTGCAGTTCAGGCTGGCCTTGAACTCACTGTGCAGCCCAGGTTGGCCCCCAACTTGAAGTAATCCTCCTGCCTCAGCCTCCCAATAGCTGGGATCACAGGTGTGTGCCACTACACCCAGTTAATAAAGGTTACCTATTATCACCATTATTATTATCACATGTGCTACCAAATTCAAGGTGTCACTTTCCGATAGCTTCAGAAGTTCCTCAGAGCACTCAGAAGGTCTGCTGACAGTCAGTAAGAGGAGTTAAGTGCTTTTCTGTTCTCACTGTTAACTTGTGAAGTCTAAGTCTACAGGACCGTTGAAAACACATTTTAAATGTGTTTTAATGATGGGACATTTCATAAAGGTTAAAGATAGTAACTATGTGCCCTCTTGTACACAGAACTCCACACTAAAGGGACCTACAGAACAGGTACGAATATATTCCAACTGTCATTTTCTCTTGATTTCCTCCACATGGCCACTGAATGGCTGCCACTGCTCCCAATGCTGGAGTTCTGTAATGAGGAAGGAGAGAGCCTTGGGCTCCCTTTCACTCACAAACCTGGGGAACTGGTCAGAGAGGCAATAGCAAATGACCGCAGTGACACATCCAGCTAGCAACTATTTATCTGGGGCAAATTCAGGAGGCTATTTACCACTGAGATGACACAGAAATGATGACAAAGGTGCATTTCAAAACCTAAAGAAATTCCAATGGACATGTACAACAAGCTATTAACAGAAGATATACACTGAATGAACCCAAGAATAGAATAAGTGAATACCAAAAAAAAAAAAAAAAAAAGAATAACTGAATACCTAAATCTTATTCACATAGAAACATACATGCTTGCCAGGGATTTAGCTCAGTGGCACCGCGTCTGCCTCACAAGCACAAGGTCCTGAGTTCGATCCCCGGTACCAAAAAAAAAATACATGCTCAAAAGAATGAGTAGGCAAAACCAACGGGATACCTTCCTAACATCTTTAGAACAGAGGTGCATGAGAATTGCTGCTTAATGCAGTGAGTGAAATGGAGGGATGGTAAGACCTTTCTGCATCAAACAGTAACTATTATATTATTATTTACATGCACTTTCAAAAACTGAAAATAACACCATTTTTTCAGTCTCCCTGTTGCAGTGATTTCCAATCAGGACTCTAAAGCATCTTTAACACTTCAAAGAATGCCACAAAATCTCTTATCATCAAAATTTTACAAAAATTTCTAAAATGTGTCAAAGAGCACCTTGTAAAAAGAAAATGAAATAAAAAAAGAAAAAAAGAAAATGAAAGAAGTAGGGGTAATAAAATGGCAAATAAAATGATGGTGTCAACTTCAAAGAGTTTGGGAATTACTGATTTTTTTTTTTTTTTTTTGGTACCAGGGATTGAACTCAGGTCCTTGCGCTTGTGCAGCAGGGGGCGAAACCACTGAGCTAAATCCTTAGCCCGGGAATTACTGTTTTAAGAGTAGGGTTACCATTGGATAAACCGGTAAAACCTCAGAT